CAGCCGTTTTATGTTGATTAATACCATTGATCTGAGAAGCTGCATTTGGATGTTAATTTTTTTTTTTTTTGTTAATTTTTGAGCGAACTTGTTAATTTTGATTTTTTTTGATTTCAAAGCCACCGGATTTAACGAATTGAAGCCACGAAATTTGTTAATTTTAGGTACGCTTGTATTTGAAGAAGCCACCGGATTCAACGACTTTATCGCTGTCTCAGATACTGCTTTTGGGAATGAATTCCACTTCCGCCTTCGCGAATGTATGCCCAAAGAATACCGATTTGTAAGTATTACAATTTTTTTGGGGAAGGCAAAGGGCAGTGTTAACTGATTTATGATTTAGGTAAAAAATACCTAATTTACAATTATATTTAGGAACCTTTCTGGCAAATTTTGTGAAATTATAAATAGCCTATGCAGTTAAACACAAGTGAATAATGGTTCGAATGCGTTAGTTAGTAAGGAAGCCAGTACCTGTGTGTTTGACGTTTACAATAAAACTCTGGATTATCCCTGCCCCTTCCCCACCAAGCCAGCAATCCCGATAGTGATGTTGATCCTAGGGAGCAAATTGATGCGAAATTTGTTATACGTATCAGAGATTCGCGTTCACTTTACATCTTAATCTCAAGCCTAATCTTGGTAGAAGTTTGCACGTGGTTGCTTTGGAGGGTGCTATTATTATTCAAGTATTTTCCAAATATTTTGTATGCGGGACAGAATGAACAGGGTGTGGGAGGGGGGTGATTTTTGGATTTGGATATCGACCGCTGGCTTCCTCATTGAAAGAGGATAAAAAGTTATGAAAATTGAGATTGCTGCAAACAATACGTAGTTTTTTCTCTCAAAAATTGTTTTCTGCTTTATCAATTTCCAGAAATTGTCTTTGTTTTCGCTCATACATAATGTTTTTTCAACGCTTTTTTATGAAATATGCGTTTAAATTTGTTGATTTTTCAGTGTGCAGTGGCTTTCCATAATGGTGGAGCTTTGTAATCTGAAGAACTATTGCATTTGGGAATATGCACCGGAACTTCCGGGGGCTGTTGTTGCGCTTTTCCTGGGGCGACCCCTATCCGGGCTGGTTTATTCCCGAATCTCACAGCTACTCTGTCAAATTGACAGTGAAGAGGCAAAGCCAAATTCGGTCGTCGAACTGATTTTCCTCTACATTGGTTAGTTATGCTTGAAATTTTCATAAAATTTGAGCCCCTTATCTAGCTTTTCTTCGCAAAAAGGTATTGTTTGTTTTGCCACACTATTCAGTCTCGCTGTTTTTCATGACGCATTTCACATTGTCATTGCATTCAAGGATTTTCCCGTATTTGCATTTTCCCTTACTTTTTCTTAAAATTTCCTCTAATTTTCCTCAAATTTTTCCTTAATTTTCACCACCAATTTCCCTTTTAGCTGCAGTAATAGATGAGAAAAATCTGTTGCTCATTACTACTGGTCATCTTCCATTCTTCATTTTTGGAAATAAAATCTGTTTGTTGGAACTCTTTTCCTTCACTTGGTGAGGGAAAAAAGTCTTTGAGTTTTACCGAATAATACATTTTCTACCTTTGCTTGTAACAGTCGTCATGTGTGGTAGGAGATTTTTCCAGGTCTTAAACGTTAGGAGTTTGGAAATCCTGTGTAAAAGGTACATGAAGAATAAGTGTATGATTTTTCGCTTCACCATACATCTGGCAGTTTTTTCATTTTTTTTTTTTTTTTTTTGATGGTGTTATTTGCGTTTCATGGTATTTCGTCTCTTGTTACTTCTGACTTGAAGAAATTAACATCCCAAGGGTTCCCCGCTCACTTTTTTTAATCGCTATGAGATATCTTTTTGTGTGCGAGGCACCACCTCCTCTCCCAGAACGACGTTCTTTGCCCGATTGTGATAGAAAGTACCTTAGGGACCAAGGGGCCCAAGAATATTAGGAACACGACGTGTATTTTTTTTTCCCCGTAATGTATTTTTGCATTATTCCAGATCGAGGAAACAGTGTAACGAACGAATCACTGGAATGGCTACCGGATCTGCTCTTCAGACTTTGTGCTGAAAAGTTGTCGCCTTGGACCTCTGATCCGGAGAAGCAGCATAAGAACTGTGTCATCAAGCAGTGTCAAATGCTTCTTGGACTCACCACAGTGATTGCTCCCCAGAATAAGAACAAATCACTTCGGGTTCGTTATTTTTTTCGAATTTTTGTGTGTCTTGTTTCGTCATTTTGCCGGCATATCTTTTTATAGTAATGTATCTTCGAACTTGTTTTCTCAACAAAAATAGCATTTTTTATGACTAGCGTGCTAGAAATTTCACTTTCTTTTTTCTGTTATTCGAAAGGGAGAATTTTATTTTTTTTTTTTTTTGTTCTTCAAATTTTACTTTCCTTTTTTCTGTTTTTCAAAATTTCTGTTTTTCCGTTTAAAAATTTCATTTTTCTTTTTTTTCCGCTTTCCATGACTTAGCAATTTTCTGCACATCAACTATATGTTTAATAACTTTTTCCGACATTTTTGCACAGTTTTTCCATCCTTGTTTTTGCTTGCAATGGCTGGAAAGGAGAGAACGCTGAAGTGAAGAATGCTTGGAGTGACCCATTGTGCCTATGTGAACAATTAGACTTTCTGTCAGATGAGTGGCATGTGAAATATCACTGTGATCATGCGAGAAAGTAAAATCCGGTGGACGGATTGCCTAGGTGATAGATAGGAGCCAATGGATGTTGTGATGGTATGTAAAATATCTAGTAAGTGTTACCTGCAGGAAAATAAATGGTCATTTTGACGCGAATATTGGGCATCAAGGGCCTGGCATAACTGTTACCCTGTACGAGCTTCCCAGTAATAGCATTAGTACAAAATACCCGCACTGATTGTCTAAACGTTTTTTGTATCATACGTGTTAAGCATAAATAGGTCGTAGCTTCAGTTATTTTGTGAAAATTATCATTGTAACTTTGATATTTATGTCATTTTGGGGTCGAAA